TCTGCCAGCTTAGAGGGGCCTCGGTGTGGACGTCTCTGCGAGGCGGGTGGAGGGCAGGAGAGGGCGTGAGCCCAATGGGACGGGGGTCAGAGTCGCCTCCCCGCCAAGATTCTTTCTCGCCCCAAAAGATTTTGTTGGCAAATGCTAATATTTGTCTTCAAAAACGAGGTTTTATTTTTTAAAAAAACTTCAGTTGCATCTTTTTTTAAAAAAAAAAAATCCTGGAACCTCTCAGCTGCAATGTGTTCCCCCTTCTGCATTGCCCCCGCCGCCCCCACACACTGTGAAGAGAGCAGCCTCAGGCCGGGGCGTAGGATCAGTCAGCTTGAAATGGGACGACCGAAATGTCGTGACACGGGGCAGAGAGACCCTAAAACAGAAGCTTTTATTCACCTTTTATTGGGGGGCGGGGTGTAGTTCAAAAGTAAAATTCAAAGTTTGGGTTGGAGACTTGTTTGCCGGGACGGCTCAGAAACCTGCGTGGACAGCGCAGCTGCAGACGGGGCCTCCGTTTGTTTAATCAGCGGCCGGAGAGGCTTTCTGGGCTGAGCCGTGACCCGCGGGCAGCGGCAGCCGCTCTTACGGTCGGCGGGGCTGGTCGCCGTGGTCAGAAAACATGTGCCTGAGACGGACGGACGGAGCAAAGAGGCCATTTTTTTTTTTTTTTCCAGGAGTAACAGATTTCCCCCTTCAGGTTCATCAAGGAATGCGGCTGGCTCCCGGCTGGGCTGGCTCCCGTGCCGGGCTGGCTTCCCGCAAAGGGCCCGCGCAGGTCTGGGATTCCAGGGGGCGGGAGGGCTTTAGCTGAAATCTTTACCTGCTGATTTGGGCTCTTAAGTCTACATTCGCCTTCCACGTTTTCAGGGCGATTTGTCCCTTCAAATCAGCCGTTTGTAATTACATTTTAAATGATAACAAGACGACGGGGCCGGGCTGCAGCCCGCGCGAGCGTGGTTTGACGGTAAGAGAAGCTGCAGCACATGGCACGGGGGTTGCACATCCGTCACCCAGACTCGCCTGGGCTCCGGGCCGGCACTGGACCTGCAGGTTCGGGCCTGCGGGGACACATGCGTGTCCCGAATATGTCAGGGTCCGTGCGTGTCGTCTGTGGAGCCCTCCCTGCCCTGCCAGGGGGAGACGGGCCGGTTGAGGGGGATTCTGTGCCCGGCACCGTGGCGGTGCTGCCAAAGCTCTCGGCACATGGCCCATCGGAGAGGGACCCGATGCGGGCCCGGTCGTCTGTGCGGCCTGCAGGGCACCGCGGCGATGTGTGTGTCAGGGTGGCGGTGCCAGCTCCTCCTGCAGTGGCAACCCCGGCCCTGAGACGGCCACCTGGTTGCAGTGGCTCCCCCTGCGGAGCACGGGGACCCTCTCCTCCCGGGGCCAGGCTGTGGGCAGCCCTGCCAAGCCCTGGCTGGAATGGCATTCCCGGCGTTCCTGGCGGGGTGCGTGGCATCGGAATCCTACCTGCTTTGTCTCTGTCATCAGCTGGCGAGCTGGTCACGTGGCTGTGCGGGAGGCCAGAGTCCTCGCTCCCTCCCTCTCTCCCCACCGCTCGCACTCTGGGCATGACCGGCCCTGCCCGGGCATAAAGCGTATGAAAGCATTCCCCTGGCAGCCTGGCCTGAGGTGTCCGGGCCGTCCCTCCCTCCATTAGTCACTGACGGAAGGCCGTGGTCCGGGGAGGCAGGCGCAGCCACGGCCCCTCCACGCCATCCCCTCTACCCCGCACAGAGCCACCCGTGGTCACCGCCTCAGCTCCCGGCCACATAAAGGGCCAGAGGAGAGATGGGGGCCAACGGGTTGGCCCTGAGGGTGCAGTTCCGGGGCCCACGTCTGATAAATCTCCAATAGGAGTGCCCACAATGAAACCCCAGTTCACGGGCCCGGGTCCGAGGGCCGGAGCACAGCGGCCACCTTTCCGCGCTGTGGTGGCCGGTGTTGGTCTTGGTGAAACGGAAGGATTGGTGTCTGTGAGAGGCTGTGGTGAGAGCCTGGACCCCGGACGGCCTCCTGGCCACCTTTGCGGCCCTTCTGGGCGTGGGGACCAGCTATTGAGCGCCCGGGGGTCCCGGCCGCCGGTCAGCGCCTGCGTGCCTTGTTCGTTCTGTTGTCACAGCGGCCCTGGCCTTCACACAGGGAAACCGAGGCTAGGAGAGGCGGTGTGGCTCGCCCAGACGTAGGTGGCTGATGGGACACAAGGCCAGAATCAAACTTGCGGCCACCGCCTCCCCAGCGTTGGCTAGGTGGGCCCCCTTGGAGGGCCG